TACCAACTGAAGAAGAAATTAACAATATTTTAAACTAACTTACCTTCTACATATCTAATAATGTAAAGAGTAGGCTTATAAGTTTCAAATTCAGGAGTATCTTAAAAAAATATCTTAAAAATTCATAAAATTTCACAACATATTACTTTATTTTAAATATTAAAAAAAACAATCACATGAGATATCGCATAATCTAGAAAATCAATATTAACGTATATTGTTATCAACTTGTAAGAAGATTGAAGTTTTCCCCTTTGATGTTATACATAGCTTTACGATCGAATTCATGTAATCTATTCATTGAATCCACCAATCACTTTCGCCTAGAAAAAATTTTGCTGAATGGTATAAATTTGGCGAAATAAGAAATAATCAGCATTATTGTTCTTTCATAATCTTTTAAAATTTTATAATTATTTTTTTTTTCTTTGAAATTGATCGTGTCGAAATTTATCCATGGAGTTCTTCTATTGCAAAACTCACTCACGTACAAAAGGCTAAAGCAATAAAAATGAAAAAATGTAATAGCAATAGCACTTGAACGACCCTGTATTCCAAATTACTGCTCTCACATCATCATTTCCATCTTCATCTGCTTATATTAATTATTAATTTGCTTGCAAAAAATCTGACCCGATTTGTAAAATTGGTAACTTGTATTTTATTTTCATAAAACTAATCGAACATACCATCCATTTATAACGGACAAAAAAAAAAGTCAAAATCGATATTTTACAAAAAAAATAAACAAATCAATCTTTATTATATGTATTAAAAGCATAAAAAAAAGAAAGGAATTGGATCCCACAAAAAGTTTACAATAAAAAAAATTTTTTTTCTAATTTCTAAAATCAACACAAGTTCAGATATCACAAAATCATTCATTTTTTCTAGCTTGTTCAAGTCTAGCAACACGATCCGCTTCAGTGGTACAGGTGATAGAAACGCCCTCTTTCAAAACCAAAGGTAAAACGGCACATTTTGTTCCAGTATTACAACTAGTCAAGGAGAATTTTCCATTGGCACATTTTGCAAATTTGTCACCAACACAGGCCTCTTCATTTTCTGCACATTTTTGATCTGCTTTAAATGATTTGAATTTATTTTGTAAAGCTTCTGCTTGGTCGGCATTCTTTTTTCGAATTTTTGCTACATCACCTTTTGCTTGCCTCTTTTGATTTTTACCGTTGGATTTAGATTTTTGGCCTTTACTACCTTTACGGGCATCGGCAAGACGAGCTTTTTGATCAGCTTCGGTGGAACAGGTAATAGAAGTCCCGGGTTTATTAACCAAAGGTAAAACAACACATTTTAATTCACCGCCACCGCAAGAATTTAAAACAAACTTTCCATTAACGCATTGAGCGAATTGACCTTTAACACAAGCATCTCCTTCTTTACATGGTGAGTTTGGTTTCAATTTATCGAAATTTTTTTGTAATTTTTCTGCATCATCAGCGTTCTTTTCACGGAAATTTTGAGCTGATGCTAAAGTAGCACAGGTGACGAGAGAGAAGACGAAGATTGTTGAAAATTTCATGATTATAAAAATTTTTTTTTTTAATTTATTTGAGGAAAGATTTTTTTTAATGCTACCTGAGCAAAAATTATGAAATTAGATTTTTTTTTTATTTGGGAAATAATTCAACGTCAAGTTGATATTATTTGATTTTTTTGTGGGATTTTTTTAATTAAATAAAAGATTGTTTTTTTTTTATTTTTGTTTTTTTTGATTCTTGATTTTATTTTTCCTCGAGCTTTCTCGGGTCATATTTATATAAGATTGAACTTGAGGAAATCCACGTTGTGCTTCAAAATATTAAATTAGAGATAACAAGACGGTTTATGCATTGTGATGGGCGAAAGTAATAATTTAATAATGTTGGAACAAAGCCGTGTGCGCGTTCTTTTTTTAAAAAAATTGACGCCTATGCGAAACGGCCGATCGTCACATTTGTAAACCACAAAGTAGGGCTCGGCCTAATTTCAATTGGCTAAGCGCACAACGAACGGGATTCAGGGTATACCGAAACTCTTTATTTGATAAATTCAGTAAAAATCCATATTTCTTTTGAAACAAGATTAGGATAACAAAGGGTATCCACTTTTTTAGGTTATTATTCCCTAATAATCATCATGTTTCGAATAATATTTGTTTGTTCTCGCCATATGTCATAATTTTGTATAATAACAATAAATTATTATTTTTTTTTATTATTATTAATCAAAGAAACCTTAAGGTTTCATTATATAACCAAGAAATTAATAAAAAAAAGAATCAAACGCAATTTATTTTTTTTTATTGAACAATTCATAAATATTATGTTTATATTGAAAATTAAAATCTCATTAATTTTTTGTTTAACAAGAAAAAAAAATTATTTTTTCGTAACTCATGAATTAATTGGATGAAAATTTTTATTTTTGGCGTAAAAAAGGTCGTACAATGATGTTGAGCTGCGGTTATTCGTCGAGGTTTGTAAATCAAACATTTACTTTTTTTCTTTTTTCTTTTTTGAAAACGTATCGATTGCGACCCACCTTTAACCTCTCCTCCTTGAATGAACAACTTACGAATCAATTCTTCACAAATAAATAATCTAGACCAAAAGTCGTATGATTCTATGATTCTAGCATAAATCCTGGAGTGACTTTACGCCATTAATTTTTTTTGAACTTTTTTTTCGAACAGATAATTATTATGAGTCATTAAACAAAATTAAGGATTGTTATCTATTCATAGAAATAAAATCATATCTAATCAGAATCTTATCATTTGTGTAGTTACATGTAAAAGATGTAAAGGGTTTGCCAAGCCGCGGATCCCTTCCTTTTACCGTATTATGATGTTCTACAATTTCTACAATAAATAAGTAATTTTTATTGTCTAAAAGGAATTCGAACTACCTTTATCCAATCAAATCAATCGGTTAGGTTTAGAATATCTTTTGTTTTCCGTCACAAGTTTGATCATATGTTGCAATTTGCGTTTTATGTGATCCTGAGAAAACACATTACCATTATTACCAACATTAAAAGTTTTTTTTTTTTTGTGAGAAATCATAAAAAAAGTCATCATGAATCATAATCAATAAAAACCTTTAGAGGTGTTTAATTTGGGGGCACGAATCCATCAAAACAATCAACTATATTCATTAAGCCACTCAAAAACAAACAAAGCAAATTTCTCACCCCACACTCCAACAGGTTCTAAAAGAACAAAACCTCTTTGGTGATGTGATGTTTGTCATAATATAGTTTTTAGGTAAATTAAGTAAACTTGTTTGGCGTAAACATACTTTTCTCCACATAATAAAAAATTTTTTAATATGCAAAAAAGTTTCTTTGGGGTAGGAAAGTTCTTGCATTCAATGACTTCACATGTTTATTTTTTTTTTTATCGTAACTTAGGAATGGGTGATTGATGAAACGAATAAACAGATATCTTCAAATGGTTAGGATTGACTCGGGTTACCCGTCCCCCGAACCCCGAAAATAAGTTTAAAAGGATGGCTTATTATATTGAATATTCACAATGGTGCACGCCACTCGCATCAAAACCAGATGCATTCAATAAAAGGAATTTCTATTTTTATCATTTGTACCTACCCCACAAATTCATTTTTTCGTTTGTTCTTAAATCTCGAAACTTCCTACCCATTTCCCACGAATTAAATATAATTTTGGTAATTCATTTTAAGTGAACGAATTTCATCATGACATCATCCATTTAAAATATTAATTAGTACTTGAACGATTTCCTATATATACACCACTCCTTTGAACCTCAACCTTTTCTTCACTTACAAAGTATAAATAATAATAACATTATTATATAAATCACAACATTATTTCGCAGTCGACCAAATTCTTTAAAATATTTTTTATCCTCAAAAAAAAAAAAATACTACTTTTTAAAAAAAAATGTTTGCAACAACCTTTGAACATAACGAGACCGCTTACGGTTTCAATCTAAGAGGGTTTCAAGCCTTTGTTCCAGATGCTTTTGGTTCGGATCCAGGTAAATTTGACAATACTTTAGAGCTTATGTTTTTGGTTTTCCTTTGAGAAAACGAAGGTTAACCCTTTTTTTTATTTTATTTTATTAGCCCAAATGGAACGGTATTATAACGAGATCTACGTTAACGGTCCGGATTCAAGGTTCCCAATATCACCTGCCGCAATAGCAGGTGCTGCCGCTTACAAGGTAAACCTCTAGAGTGAACTTCTTCTAATGTTATCCTTTTTTTTGATCCAGTAAATTAATAAAAAAAACTTTTTTTTTTCCTTATTTCTCGCTTTCAGGCTGTTCGATCACAACCACCAACCACGCCATTTTACGGTGATTTACAAACACTTCATTTACAAGCCATCTCAAATATCAAGTCGATGGCTGCTCAAGAAGCCCAAAATCTTTTGGCACGTTTCTGCCTACCTAACATAGATCCTATGATCGTTATTATATCAGCTGAAGCTGCCGCACATCGTTTATATGATCATGAAAACTTTGATTAAAAAATCTTTCGAGATGGTTATGGGAAATTGCATTTTATAAATCTTTTTCATGAATAATTCTTATACTATAGAACAAAGTTGTTTTATTTTGTATCATGTATATAGCAACTTTTTTTTTTCTTTAAATTTATAATTTTTTAAAACTTAATCCAAACTAATTAATAAAAAGATTCAATTGCTTTTATTTTTTTAAATTGTGGCGCGTTAATTTTCACGTTAAGATAAACAAAAAGCCTCACGAGTTTTTCTTTTAAAATTAATAAAATTATATTATTTATTTAATATTTACATTTAAAGGTAAAACCAAAAACATTATTAATATATAATTATCGATAAACTTCTTTTTTTTTACATTATAATCAAAAAATAATAATAATATATATATATATATATACTTTTTTATAAGTTAAATAGTCATTCATCCGGATATAGTGAGAGCCATTTTTAACCAATCTGAATTTCTCAACTCTTTCATAATGAAACAAGCAACATTGGCTCGGCTAACCTTTGTTAACGTTAGTTTATCATTTAATCTCCATTTATTGGTCAAACTTCCATTACTTAATTTACCGGGCCTTATAATAGTCCAATCGAGTTGATCGGAATATTTCATGATTATCTTTTCCTGCATTTCCTTATCATTAAAAATCTTTCCGGCGAATAATCTGCCAAAGAACTTTTGCGTGGAACTAATGTTTGCGTTAGAGTCACCGACCCCTTGTGTGCTGACAACGATTAACCTTCGTACCCCATGATGTATCATGGAATCTATTATAAGTTGTTGTGATCGACTACATATGTCGATATCGTTATTATTGAACAAGAGGTGTGGTCCGATGCAATTTATCACGGCATCCTGCCCTTCTATAACCTTATCCAAATCCTTGCTGGATAATATCGACCCTACCATTATAACGAGATTCGGATTACGGAGTTGATAACGTGTAAAAGGGAGGTTCAAGTCGGAACGAACCAATGCCGTCACGTGGTATGACGCATCCAACGCTTGGTTTACCACCTGTGCGCCCAACCGTCCGGTCGCTCCAAGAACTTTAAAAAAAAACAAGAGACAAGAGACGGTTAGATGATGTTATTTGGGTAACGCGAATTAAATATACCTTTTTTTTAAAAAAAAAATTCCATATACGAAGGTACATAAATATATTTATAAAGTTAAAAAAAAATATAAAGGCTCACCAAGAATATGCTTTCCACGCATGGAGGTTGGTACGTAATCCTCAAGATTTATAAAATGAGGAAATGTGGTAACATCGATAAGGTTATGAGCTTTATGTGCTTTATGTGACGTTCTTGTTCTTGTTCTTTTTAAAGATTGTGTTAAAGGTAATTGTATTTTTATCATTTTGTCTATGGTATATTTTATATTTTATATTTTTATCTTTAATAAAAGAAAAATAATATTAATAATGAGAAATGCGAATGCGTTTTACTATTGTTTTTTTTTTTTTTTTTGATGGACCGGCAAACAAAAGAAGCAAAATGTAAATAATTTAATTAATTAATTTATAAAAGGTCAAATGAACAATAGGGACAAAAGGGAAACTTAAAAAAAAAATGTCGTCAAAAGAAAATTAAAAAAAAAGGGGACTTTCAAAGGGACAACAATAACAATTAAAAAGAATTTCAATTATTTTGTTTGTTTTTAACCGCTCAACGGTACGAGTCTGGGAGGAAAAAAAAAAAAAAAATAGGTGGAGGAATTCAGTGAAGTTATAAGAATGAAAAAAAATAGACTTTAATGGCCGAATTTGTACGCGATAAACAGATTAAGCAGGGCAAATTTGATGTCAAAAAAGAGTAATGATGTTGGTTTTTAATTTATTTACAATGGGGGTCTTAATAAGATTTCCAAAATTAAACCAAATATGATACAAATGTTTTTTTTTTGAGAAAACAAATGTGTAATAATGATGTAAATCGATATAAAAAAGTAACGTTCCCGTCTATATAAAGTTTTATTCTTGTTTTCTATATATAAAAATGTTAATAAAAATAATTAATTTGGAAAAAACTTTGCCCAAGTGTTTAGGATACGTTTTAAAATAAAAAGTGGGAAAATTTAAAGAAATTGAGAATAATGTGTAATACCGACAAACACAACAATAATAATAATGAGTGAGAAACGTGATTCACTTGTTTTCTCTTTATGAATCTATTGATTGAATGCCAAGGATGATTATTTATAGATTCTAGTAAAAACTAAAAAAAAAAGATCTCGTAGACTCTTGTTGTATATATACATTTTCTTTGAAAAAATATAATTATAAATAATAAAGTTGGTGTTTATTAAAAAAAATGCCAAATCGATACTTGATTTGTTAATCCCAAGAATATTATTGTTATTTATGAAAATAAAAAGAAGAAAGAAGGAATGAATGCATACGGTTTAATGAGATACATGCATGTCCTTTGATCGTTACTTTAAAGGGATAAAAAAAACAAATTCGGATTGCATAACGCACAACATAACATGACAATGAAATTCTGCTGCCTGTGTCACATTATCTTTCGATCGCAATCATTGTAAGGAAAAAAGCGACTTATTTAGTTATGAATTTATAAGAACGCGAGGTGTTTACGTAACAATGACCTGAATGCATTATTAAAAAAGGCCGTCTATACTTTCGAACTAATTAATTAATGAATGACTAATCCGAATGTTCATTGATAATATTTGAATATGTGTCAAAGATTTAGTACATACATAATTTTTAATAAAGAATTATTTAAAGAAAATGGAATTCAAAAGGTTGTTTGAGAACGTCGATTTGTTTATTGTTTGGTTACAACCTTTTTTTTTTTGTTTCAAGAATTATTGGATTTTGACGATAAATGAATTTATTGTTCAACAAAGGCTCAAAGATTGGACGGATTGGACGCATCAAAAATAGTTACTATGGATTACATAAATACATGACATAAAAGTTCTGAAAGGACAGAATAAATTACATTGCTAAAGCTTACCTAGTTCGTAATGATTAATTCCTTTCTGATTTCCAATGGTGTAAAGTTCAAATGTTTCTAAAGATCTCAAACAAATTATTGTTGTTTTCTTCCTAATTTGGGCTATGACACTTTTTAGATTAGTAGATGATCGACGATTTTCCTAGTTCCCTGACAATGATAGGCAAATCAATTCCAATAAAATGCTCTTTTTTAGTGCGCTTTAGACTTTAGAGTAAGTAATCGATTCTCGATGTAGCTAATCAATGTATTAGAGTAGCTCACATTACAATTTAGTTCCAATTTTTTAAATAAAATACGTTTTTTATAATTACAATACTTTATAAAAAAATAATCACATTAATTTTTAGTTCTATCTTATAATAAAAGTAAGAAAATATTGCCTTCTATATAGTTACATCAAATTATATTCCTTTATATAATCACAGTAAATCATATTAATATAAATTTTTTTATATAAAAAAATCTAAAAAAAAAAGAGTACAATATCGGTCATTATTTTCTTTTTTCTCATGAAATACTACCATTTGAATCAAAATTAGACGAATCCAATAAGCTAATATATAATATACATTCATTTCTGATCATCCAATCTTGATATAATCATGATTGAAATATAAAATCAGGTTTCTTTAAGTAGAATTTATTGAACTATAATTCTGGCTAATAATTCAATCATAATTATTTTTTCATGATTAGATGATCCAAAATCAATAAATATTAGTTTATTGGATTCAGCTAGTCATAATGATTTGAATAAGTGATAATTTTAATATATCAATCGAATTATTTATCAGATGAAAGTAATTAATCAAATTCATAGTAAAAGTTCCTTTAATAAGAATTTTTCAAATAACTATCTCTTAAATGGTAATAATTTTTATTCAAATTTAGTCATGATTTTCAATCAATTATTATGCAAAATTCTACATAAAAACTTACAATTTTTTTTTAATTTTTAGTTAAAATATGTTATAAAATTTATTATAAATCTATTATTTTTAAATAAAATTTCATTTTTAATAATTAAAATATTAAATATATACAAATTTTTCAACTTTAAATTTATGATTTTTTTATAAATAAATAATATTTAAATATATAAATAAATGTTTTAAATATAAATTTATATATTTTCTAAAGTTTTTTAATATTATAAAAGATAAATAAAAATTAAAGATTTTAGCTTTTATAAAGAAAATACTTTTATTAAAATATTTTTAAAACTTTGAACTTAAATTAATGCAAATTAATATATTATTTTTTTTGATTTTACTTAAAAAATATCATAAATTTTATTATAATAATATTATTAGTTTAATAACTGATTTTTAATATACTTAAAATTAACTTTAAAATGTAAGTAAAATTCCTTCTAAATTTAGAAGAAAAATCATTGAAGGAATAATATTATTTATATAACAAAGTAATTAGAAATTTAAAAAAGAAAATTGCAATTTTTTATCAAAATGTTTGGAAAATTTATGAAACTATAACAAAAAAAAAAGTTAAGAAATATTAGCAATATAATTTACCAATACTTGATATAATTATAGATGAAAAAATTCTTTTATTAGGTTAGGATTCATCTTGCTTACTTAAATATATAAATTATGTGATTAAAATATGTATACTTTATTATCAAAAATATCAAATGGCATTTTATCATGTGATTATAGATATTATATAGAACGTTTTATTTATGTAAATCAAAATACAATTAGACATCCATATAATCACCTCTTTTATTCTGCCAAAATTAATTATTGTATAAAGGTATTATTGTAAAAAAGTAACCTCTATATAATCACTATTATATTAAAAATCATATAAAGTGATTATATAAAGTTTTTATTTCAAATTGTCAATTTATAAAGAATTATCCAAATTGTCAATTTATTATAAGCAAAAAATATTTACAATATTATTAAATGTTATTATTATATTAATATTATTAAATGCTATTATTTTCAAAAATATTAAAAAAACTAGTAATTAAAACTTACTTTTGAGAT